TTCGCTTATTTTTTATTTTTTTATTTAATTTTATACATTTTTTTACTGCACTGGCAGATGCTTTCAAATTATAATTTTTATTTATTTTATTTTTTTTACTGCACTTGCAGATGCTTTCACTTATTTTTTTTTTACTGCATTGGCAGATGCTTTCACTTATTTTTTATTTTTTTATTTAATTTTATTAATTTTTTTACTGCACTGGCAGATGCTTTCAAATTATTATTATTATTATTATTTATTTTTATTTTTTACTGCACTGGCAGATGCTTTCACTTATTTTTATTTTTTATCTTATTTTTTTTTTTTTACTGCACTGGCAGATGCTTTCACTTATTTTTATTTTTTATCTTATTTTTTTTTTTTTACTGCACTGGCAGATGCTTTCACTTATTTTTATTTTTTATCTTATTTTTTTTTTTTTACTGCACTGGCAGATGCTTTCACTTATTTTTATTTTTTATTTTATTTTTAATTTTTTTACTGCACTGGCTGATGCTTTCACTTATTTTTATTTTTTATCTTATTTTTACTGCACTGGCAGATGCTTTCACTTATTTTTTATTTATTTTATTTATTTATTTTTACTGCACTTGCAGATGCTTTCACTTATTTTTTTTTTTTTTACTGCACTGGCAGATGCTTTCACTTATTTTTTATTTTTTTATTTAATTTTATACATTTTTTTACTGCACTGGCAGATGCTTTCAAATTATAATTTTTATTTATTTTATTTTTTTTACTGCACTTGCAGATGCTTTCACTTATTTTTTTTTTACTGCATTGGCAGATGCTTTCACTTATTTTTTATTTTTTTATTTAATTTTATTAATTTTTTTACTGCACTGGCAGATGCTTTCAAATTATTATTATTATTATTATTTTTATTTTTTATTTTTTTTACTGCACTGGCAGATGCTTTCACTTATTTTTATTTTTTATTTTATTTATTTTTTTTACTGCACTGGCAGATGCTTTCACTTATTTTTATTTTTTATTTTATTTAAAAAATTTTTACTGCACTGGCTGATGCTTTCACTTATTTGTATTTTTTTTTAAATTTATTTATTTATTTATTTTTACTGCACTGGCAGATGCTTTGTGAAACAATCCGCAAGTGTGGTAAGAAAAAAAATACACTCATATTAAAGACAGTCTATGAAAACAAGTCTGAATTTCTTTTGCAGTTTTTTCTCTTTTTTTGCAGTGAGCTATGTACGTCTGATAATGAATCTTACACTCTTCCTCTTTTCCGTAACCAGAGATCTCACACTCCGTCCAATCCGGTAAAGCCAGGTTTGGTTCTGGTAAACATGCAGGCAGAACTTCTGGAGAGTGAAGGGCACAGATACCGAACTCGCTCTTCAACTTGAGCAGAGCTGAAGACATGAGGAACACGACAGGAAATCACTTACAACTCAAGTGACATTTAAAACCTCATAAATACTGAAATGATGATCAAGTCACATGCTAATATACTCTATTGGTATGTGCTACTCTTTCTTATATTCTACTGTTACAAATAAAATCAGAGAAATTCCACATTTCATAAACAAACACTATCAAAACTTCTTTTAGGATTAGGCAATAGATTGTTTTTCTAAAGTCTGAATTATAATATTAAATAAATGAACACTACCATTCAAAAGTCAGTCAGTAAGATTTTACTCAAATTACCTGTATTCATCAAGGATGCATTAAACTGATCAAAAGTGACAGTAAAGATATTTATAATATTACAGAAGATTTCTATTTCAAATAAATGCTGTTCTTTTACAAATCAAAGAATCCTGAAAAATAAAATATATTGTGGTTTTCACAAAAATATTGGGCAGAACAACTGTTTTCAACATTGATAATAATCAAAAATCAGCATATTAGAATGATTTCTGAAGGATCATGTGACACTGAAGACTGGAGTAATGATGCTGAAAATTCAGCTTTGATCACAGAAATAAATTACATTTTACAATATATTCACATAGAAAACAGCTATTTTAACTTGTAATAATATTTCACATTTTTACTGTTTTGACTATTTTTGAGCAAATAAATGCAGCCTTGGTGAGCAGAAGAGACTTCTTTCAAAATGTTAAAAAATCTTACTGACTCTAAACTTTTGAATGATAGTATATATACAAAATGCAAAATATATAACATTTAGAAACATAATAACAGTGGCCAGGACAGCAGCTGACTGTGAGCTGATGATCTTGATAATCCTCCAGATCTGTTTTCTGTGTGTAAGAGTGCAGAATGGATTCTAGTGGAGTGTGTGTGATTTGTCAGTGAATGATTTGAAGTCTCACCGATATCATTGTCATACGTCTCGTCGTCGTACTGCTCATGAATCCAGTATTTCTCCACGTCAAAGATCTGCTCGCTGCTGGAGTTCTGAAGCCTGAAGGTTCGGCCCAGAACCACTCGAAGACGCTTCTCGTCAAATCTGAACACAGATTACAGAAGACATATATAAAAAAATATATAAAATCGTTGTCTTGTTTTCAGTAAAATTATTTCAACATCTTTAAAACCATATAAATTCCACTTTGTCCTATGATAGGGTTTCTGAAGGTAAATTTAAAACTTCAAGACCAAGTAAAGAATATTTAAGGAAACAAAATACATCAGTACCTTCTCTAAATGTAAACGTTTACACAACGAGTTGCATTAGCAACACTTTAAAAGTTAAAAAATGCATTTTCAACTCATCTGCATTATTTTTCAAATCAAATTTATCAAAATGAAGTGAGTTTATGCTTAAAACAACAACAAATATCTGCCAGTGGAATCTGAAAAATCAACTTAATTAAAAGGGAAGCTTTCATATACCCTATTGATATTATATTTGTTCTTGTTTTAAGCATAAACTCATTTCATTTTGATTTTTCAATCATTTTTACGTTTGCATCTCAAGTTAATTATGTTTCGATATTTAAATTAGAAAACAAAAGTACGGAGGAAGATGTTCGTAGTTTTTATTATTTTTTATTCCAGTTTTAGTTTTAGTTATTTTAGTACATCAAGTTAAACTAATTTAAAACGAGATGCTGCCTTGGCAACTAGCTGAAACAAAAAGTTTTTTAGATTTTATTTTATGTCAGTTAACGATTATTTCAAGTAACATAATCGTTTTTTTATGGTTTTAATTGTAGCTTTAGTTGTGTTATCTATAATAAGCCTGGTTCAAATAATGTACCTTAAATGTTGATTCATAGAAATTTTTTTTTTGATGTGCAATGTCTCAAGCAGTGAAAATCAAGATAAACGATGGTGATTCAGCACATATCCATCAGACTGTGATCAGCAGATTGCATGAATGATTTTTTTGATTCTTGATGTCATGATGGAGGAAATAAGATTTGTGAAATAAAATTATCTGACAGCAGCCCATTTTGTCAAGAAGGTAGTGAAACTGATCAAACACACACACACACACACACACACACACTCACACTCACACACACA